CTGTTTCATTTTGTTTTTTCTATTCCATATTCAGAGTTAAATTATTCACAGTACTTTTTCAATCTTATTTATGTATACTAACACGTAGAAAGAAAATAATTGAAAGATAAAAATAAGCTACAGGGATCATTAAAACTAACTCCAACATAAACTCTTCAAACAAGCTGATTCAGAATTCAAAACAAAATATTAGACTAATCATACAGCAAAAAAAAACAATAACCAAACTCAAATCAGAGAATTTACCGATAATAACCAACCAAGTCGTAATATATTAATTAAGTAGTTTAAGTAAAGTTTATTAATTCTACAGAATCATATTTCATGAAGGGCAATTCACCTAAATTACTAAAAAATAGACAACATCAATAAGTGATGAATTGGATCTATATAAAAAATTAATAAATATTTTTTAATACATTATTGATGTTTAATATGATATATAAATTTAGATTTTAATCGTTAACATTATCTGATATATTGAGTAAGAGAGGTGGATGGGAAGAATAGTTGAAATGTAAAAAATGACCTGGAAGTCTCTGATTTACCTGATGAAGATGATATTTGGCAAGGGTGGCCTGCACAACCATGTCAAAAGTACAACAGTTTCGACAGACGAGAGGACAGAAAACATTTGACATTATGTGCAGGTATGCTGATATTTTCACAGGATCTGCCACACAACGTTAACCTTCTGTAGGAAAATAGGCTCAATTGCACAGAATGGGAACCACCAAACAACTTTCATTCATCGCCTGTCACAACAACACCACAAACTCTAACCCTATACGATTCACTTTTTCTTGTTACTCATTAGACAGCGTTTAATGAATCGGCTGAGCACCCGCAAATCAATCTTCTAGTTAAATACTTCCGAAACAAAACAGCGTTTACAATGAATGAAATACGTCATTAGACACTGATATTCACAATGTTTCCATCTCCCTTTTGTTTCAATGTAAACAAACAGTCACTGTTATTTCTGTAATAATAGACTACACTTCCCATATACAGCTGGCAGGTGCCGCTGTCGTTGAAAAGTGTGTATATCAATTATCATGAATTTAAGATATTTTTATTATGTATTTCATATATTTTTTTTCAGGTACAGTGTTTGTAAAACAGTGTTATACTGATTTTTAAATACCACCTAATACAATGTCTTAGCTTCCGGCCCACACCATGTGTCTGACTGACCTCAGGAGTCCCAAGCAATTTTACGGAAAAACCACGTGACAAATGCAAGGCTATGTTTCATATAATGTCTCCCAGAAAATTATTACACGATGTGGAACCCTTCTACACTGATTTTCATGAGATGTACGATCATTTTTTTAACTTAAAAGAATTAGCAAGTTAAATTATGTGTTATGTAAACATTGATTGGAGGAACGATCATGGTTTAATCTGCATCATGAAATGATTTGTGATGTCTCACAGCTCATGTCTTCCTTGTCCTATTATCGTTGGTAAGACCATACACAGCTTCTTATCTCAAGAGAATGGCTTGGTTCAGTGTTATTGGACTTATGCGTTAAGTCTCAACCTATAATTGTCCACACATATGTGTTGTACATATCCCTCTAATGTCGATAGAACCAGAAAATGTTACTTAAACCATTCCATCATTGCCACTCCACAAACATTGATGACAGCATCTCACGCTTAATTAGCGATTAAGTCAGTAATACACTCACATTCAAGGGTCTAATTTCGGCATTTGGTGTCAGAGTTTAACGCGTAACACCACAAATCGTCCCCTTCAAGCCTTTGTTGCTTTCTTGTGTGACCCGGATTGAACCATACCAACTGATTGAGTAATGAGTGGTCAAAACCTACAGCAAGTTCTTTTTTTTGATACTGCCAACATAAAGCTTTGTTTTCCTCTGGAAACTAGTGTTTTCTTTTTCTTCTTTGTTTCAGAATCATCACCTCCGATATTTGTTTCAGTATAAACAAGATTTTCCATATTTGAAGTGACAGAGGGCTTGCTCAAGAGGCTTTGCCAACTGAAAGTTTACCTCCAAAAGGGGTAGATAAAGTGTCATGAAGAAGAGTTCTGGTTCCTCTCAGAAACTTGGTTCGTTTCTAAGTCCAGGGGCACCACACTATAGAGAGAGAAACACTGCGGGCCAAAACGGGTGGAGCTCGGAGAGGGTGTTGCAGCCATCGAGCAGCAGCATAAGGCATCAAGCTAGTGTGGCTAACTTGACACCCTTCAACAGTGGAAGAACAGTACCCTCAAAATGGGATGATGCAGAGAGGTGGATTTGTAGCCCCGTTTCAGGCTATACTAATCACAAAACTAATTCCTATGCACAACTTCATCGGCGACCCAAATCAAAAAGTGGTCCTATTGTGCCTCCAGGAAAAGGCTACTACTCCAATTACTCACCCACAATTCCACTTCGCCAAGGTTTGGCAGTGAAAAACTTCATGATGGGTGGTTCCCCTTTTTCAACGGGAGTGTTGGCACCGGATGCTATTTCTCTTCACCATTATTATGCACACGATGCCGTTTTTGGTCCCCGTTATGACTTTGACAGTACTATGCAATGTTCTAGTCCTCTTCTCGACGATAATAGCGAAGCTCTACTCCCATCAGTGTCTAGTGCACCGGTGTGGTCAGAACTTCTGTGTGACCCATCTTCGCCTAATTCTCAAGGTATGAATACTGGAGTTCCTCTTCAGAGGTATTAGCCTTTCTAAACTCACATTGCATGCTCCATTTAAGATGATGAATATGTATCAAATGGATTTAGATTGGTGAAAACTGATACGTTGATTGTAAGATATAGTTTATAGCCAAATGTTTGTGATGTGACTGACTGGTTTCAACTCCAAGTATACTTCACTCAGAACACCTATATTCATAAATAAGAGATGCGTGTCAAGTACAGAGTGGTTGGTGAGACATTTCTTGGTTCAATTTGGTAGTATAGTTAGTGTCTTGGTCTATTTGTGGGAGATAACTCGATCAAAGCGAGGATAAGATTTTCTGTTTTGTGTGCAGTCACCATAATGAATATTGGGTTGATAGTTGAATACGAAAAATTATATGGCTGTGTATTGACATGCGAGAATTCACATATTTAAAACGTTTCAGTTATTTTCCTTTACAGATGAGAAACGAAATGGAACTAAGAATGAGGACGCATTGACATGTCTCTCTAGATGTGATAAAGGAACTCAAATGAGCCCTCCTGAAACTGAGAATGATGCAGCAAAATCCTCACCCACTTGGACCATGAATCGTCAAAATAGCCATGCTGCGAAGTTAGAGGTGAGAGATGTAGAGGTAGACAGTGAGGCTACTATTATTAGGTGGTCTAAGAGCCATTTACCTAGGCTGAGCTTGCTACCTGGTAAACACTCAAGGAAAAGGAGTAGTACGGAAGCCCAACCTTCAGGTTTGGATATTGCAGAGTCAACGTTGGACTCTACCAAGTATGTTCTTTAGATGCTCAGCTGATTTTAGTCCTCATATATTTGAGTTCTTGGGTTAGGAGTTATCCCAGACATAAAATAAATTTGGAATATTTACTGAATGAATCCAAAATTTCTACTGCCATGCATGCTTCTCTTTGTCTAGTATCATTATTATCAAGATATTTGAACCTCTCCAACATTCATTCAGCGATAAAAACAGATTTGATGTCATTGTTTTTGTTTCTGGAGCAGGTTTCAGAGGGAGGAATCCAAAATCATTGCATGGGAGAGTTTGCAAAAAGCCAAGGCTGAAGCTGCAGTACGAAAACTAGAGGTTTTTTTTTCATCACAGCTTGTATATATATTGAACTTTCTCATATGATGTGTGTCCCTATGCCAAGTCAAATTCGTAAGCAAGATAAATTCAACAAGGCTCCATCCCTAAACCGTAAAATCGTTGTCGTGTCGTGTCATGCTGCATGATAAAACTAAACATTATATGCAGAGTGTATGTATACAATGACTATATCAGGGACACCTCGAGTTTTTCTTTCCCTAATGATGGAAGTATTTTACACAGATGAAATTGGAAAAGAAGAAATCGACGTCGATGGAAAAGATTCTAAACAAGCTGAGAAGGGCTCAGGTGAAGGCTGAAAAGATGAGAAACCAAACAAGTGTAGAAGAGGATCAGCAGCAGGTTTCCAAGACTCGGAAAGTATTTTCATTCCAAAAATATGTCCAGATATGGTCTCCAAGGAGTTGCTTCGGCACTCATGCTCCATGATTAATATTTAGTACAATATACAAATTATTAAGGTTTTGCCCCGATAACCACAGAAAATTAACATTCAAGTCAGGTCATTTTCATTTGCCTTTTCTTTTTTGTACTTCCCAATAACGTCAAATAATGAATGACTACTGCATTCTTACTGCCTTTTGACATTTTAGGCATTATGTACCAAATCTAATGGGTTCATTTCTGGATGTTACCTTTACCTTTATTTGTCTTCTATATTCTATTTTAGGGGGAAAAAAATCTTTGGCACCATTTGACAGTAATGTAAAGATAAAATAATCATAAAAAAAATTGTATTTATAAAAAAAAAAAGTGAAGAATCATGTCAATAAGTATAAAAAAAATTTACAATCAAAAAACTATTGCCCATCCTTTTTACATCTATGTTAAGCTAAGAGCATGCTTGGAGGCACAACTAGTCACTAGCATTAATCCATGCAACTGGTGATTCGGTATTAAACACGACTAATTATCACCAGCAAAATTGCATTTTATATAATGTTCAAAATAATTAAGCGCAAAAGCTCGTATTGTTTGTAGCTTCGCTTGATACGATCCGAGCATGCTGATATTATTGATTTCAGACGGAACCCTTTTTCGTTACGTACATATAATATAACAGGCTTGCCCACCAAAAGATGACGGAAAAGCGTAGCCAGGTTCGTTCGCAAATATAATATGGGCATATAACTTAATAATTTATTATGGACCATACATCAGCATCCTGTCTGACAATAGACGAGGAACAAAATACATAGTAAGAAATGTAGCATTGTTCTAGAATATAACATTTCCATCATCTTCGCTTAGTACAAATCGATACAAGATAATATGTTCAAAGAAAGTATTTTCTGGCTTACGATGGATTAAAAAATCCAATCCATAGTTCTTACAACTTTATAAATCATGATTAAATAACAGTACCACAGTTCGCTGTCACAAATAAGCAGTGTCCCTACTAGTATGGTCTATACCTCCAATCTGCTCTTGATGGTCTCCCAATTCCATAACCCCACTGCAAAAGAAAATTTATAATCAAAAGCAGAAACATGAAACTAGATTATACTTCAATGTTTCTTGACATATTGCCCAAATTTTGATGTATGTATATATATGTATGTATGCATACTGCTTATAAAATTATTAGATGTAAATACTCACATCGTCAAAGTCTAAGCTACCATACATCCTCCCATAAGATCGCACAGGACCGCCATATCCCCCAAAAGATTCCATCATGAAATTCCCACTGGGCCCTGCATCATCAACGGGTGTAGCCGAATCTATTGCAACCTACAGGTGAAAACCACTAATCAGTGAAACAGAATTTAAACCAAAAAATATTATCAAATTTTATTCACATCATGATGACATGTCATAAGGAATTCACACTGGAATTATATTTGTCTACTGTGCATATATGTTGTTTAATGCCATTACAGGAGACAGTCACGTTATTTCACAGAGATCTCGTTAAGAAATAACAGAACAAATCCACTAATTACATGTTCTCTCCTGATTTGAATGGACTATGTAGTTAAGGTACTAAAATTTAAATGGGCATTTTAAAGCAGTGGAGTTAATCTCCACCCCGTACCTACACAGATTCCCTCCCACCACATCCATTCATCTAAATTTAAATCACAGAAAAATGAGCAAACAGAAACTTATAGCAGATGAAAGTCGGTAGTAATGCAAGCCAGTAGCGAATTTAAATTAAAGTACCTGATGTCCACAAATCTCATGAGACCTTCGTGAGACACGATCTGCTACACCATCTTCAGCAAAAGTAACAAATCCAAAACCTCTGTGGCCTGTTCTCTTAGGATCCTACCCAAAAATAGACAATCAAGTTAGCAAAGCTTTGTCAAACTCGTAGAAGCATTTTTTTTAATATCTTACCCTTGCAACATAAACATCTAACATCCGGCCAAGTATATGCCTTTAATATCTTACCCTTGGAACATAAACATCTAATATACGGCCAAATCTTCCAAAATATTGACGAAGATCCTCAGAAGATGCTTCTGGGGGTAGACGGCCAACAAAAATCTTTTTACTAGTTCTACGAGCAGGTTCTCCCCCTATTTGATAAAATATGGCAGTGAGTCACTAGTTAGTATGAAGCCACTTAAGTCATTTAATTGAACACTGGTGCTTGCACTTACGTCCATAAATTGGGCCAGGATGATCATACAAAGTAGGAGTACCAAGTGCTGCATATCTAGTGGCTGCAGAAATGTAAGCATTGTATGCACCATATCCTCCCTGTGGTGGCATTCTGCTGCCAATTGGCTTAAAGTCTTCATCCTGTACAAAGAAATATATAATCTTATTTAACTAAAAGGATAAGGAAATTTTAAATTTTAAATATCCTTTTAATCATAAAACAGTACACTTGGGTAGCAAATGAAATTCACTTAATATTTAATTAATTTGAATAAAAATGTCTTGGTTATTACTCTGCAATTTCCCGAAACTATTCTA